GAGGCGGTGCGAGCTCTGCCCTAATTTGCCGCCGCCGCCGCCGCCATGATGGAGGGGCGGGGAGGAGGGGACGGCGGCGGGGGCGTCACGTCGCGGCAGTTTGTGTCGCGCGTCACGGCCCGCGCCGAGGGGCGGGGCCCGGCGGGACACCTCCTCCCTCACGTGACTCCCCGAGGGGGCGGGAAGAGGCGCGGCGGCGCGGCCGGCCCTTCCGCCGGGGCAGCGGCTGCGGGGCGAGGAGGGGGGGGAGCCCCTCCCCCGGGGCGGGAGCGGGTTTCCTGCGCCCAATGGCACACGTACGCAGGAAAAACGCAACCGGAGGATTCGCGTTAACCCCTTGGCGCTTTCCTTGCAGATTCTGAGGGAAGGAGCGGGTGGCAGTCGGCTTCCGCGGCCCTGCTGCGGTTCAGAGGGCTGTAGGTGCAGGTTGGCTGGGTCAGAGCCCCACACGGAAAGCCGCCCCTAAGGCTGGGGGGGAGGGGGTGTCACAGAGCACCTGGGCTGGAGGAAAGGAAGCAAGTCCGGATGCAGTTCTGACTGCTTTATTTAGATTGCGCCCAAAACGACAGTAAAGTGCTCTCAAGCCCCAAAATACAAGTTGATTCCCCGCACTGTAATGTAAACGCAATATGAAAAAAGACAAAAGTTACACAGTTTTGTAATAAGCTTTTTCACACAGAAAACAAGGTGCCGTAAAAATTGACGAAACAGAAGTAGGCCAGGAAGGAGCAGGGATATGACAAATACCACGTTTGACACTGATTTGTAAGGAACAGTTCTATTTTTTTCAGTAGGTGTATCTGCAGAATGGAAATAGAAGCTTCCCGCCAGCTAGAATAAACAAATACCATTAGAGGCTATGAAGATTGCTTTAAGTTTTGCCATAAAGAAAACGATGGAAGCAGTAACAGAACTCCTAAAGAATCAGCACATCATTCGAAAACGGTCTTGAACGTTTCTGCACCACAAAATGACAGAAGGTAATGACAAAGGCGGCTGTGAGTCCCCACCACGTATTTCTACAATGAAACGCTGGTGCCACAGCTGTTAACCACAAAAGTACAGCCAACCTGAGGGGCCCGCCACAAGGCTCCCCCAAGCCACCTCCACCCGACAGCCGCGACCTCCGGCCTCCCTGCTCCCCTCGGCCGGCTGCTCCCTGCGCCCTGCTGCTTTTCTCTTCCGGGC